CATGCTCACCAAATAAGAGGCAGAAAGAGAGAGAGAGAGAGAGAGAGAGAGAGAGAGAAATTAGGTTGCCAGATCTGGAATTAGACCCGCAGTCAGCCATGTGGGAGTCCAGTACCTTAACCACTGAGCCACCTGCTGACCCCCGAAGGCACCTTTTTTTTTTTTTTTTTTTTTGAGAGGTTTTTGCTATAGGGCTCATGCACTCACCAGACAGACAGAGAGAGACAGAAAGCGAGAAATTACCCCCCGAGGGGGGGGATGGCCACACCACAATCCCTTCTCCTCCATTCTCCTCTCGGGATCTTGGGCACGCACGCACACGTGCCCGGCGTGAGTTTAAGCCACCGGGTCCGGGACTCAAACCACAGTCGACTACATGGGGAGTCCAGAGATGTAGCCATTATGCCACCTGCTGGTCCCAGACGGCATCTTTCTAATAATGATCAGGTTCTGGCCAGTGCTGCCTCCTCTGTTGCTCTGAAGCACCCTAAGGGCCAGCACCCACCCTGCCTTGTCTGTGTCAGGATCCTGCCCCCCCCCTTCCCCGCCTGGCAGGGACCTCAGGTCCTTGGTTCTCAGTAGAATTGGCGTGGAGGTGGGGGCCTGAGTGACAAGCCCCCTGAGATGTGTCACTTCTCTTTTCTGCACCCTGGACCCTGGGAATGGACAGTTTGAGCTAAGGTGACCTCTGATTCAGACCCCTGCCTGCCCGGAGTCTCTGAGTCAGTGGGAAGAGGCTGGAAGGCTGTGAGCTGGCTGGGCATTGTGGTTAGGTTTGGGGGTCCACAGTTTCCTGGCCCTGGCCTTGGGCACACAGTCTGTGCAAGCAAAGATGACTCTGGCTTCTTAATTTTATTATTATTATTATTATTATTATTATTATTATTATTATTGGTTATAGTGTGCATTCCCCAGAGAGAGATGGAATTGAGAAATCACTCCTCAGGGGGATGGCCATGCCGCAATCCCTTCTCCTCCATTCTCCTCTCTGGCTTTTGGGCACAAATACGTCCTGATCCCAGGAACTTGAAAAACACACCGGGTGCGTGTGCGTGTGTGCCCAAAATCCCAAGAGGAGCATGGAGAAGGGATTGTGGCATGGCTATGTTCTCTAGGGATGATTTCTCACCTTCTCTCTCTCTCTGTGGGCCTCTCTCTGGTGAGTGCACACACCCTATAGCAAAAATAAACACATACATGGCAGATGGGGGCCTAGTGATTAAGGGAGTCAGCTGTCAAATGGCTGACTGCACGGTTTGAGTCCCAGCCTTGGGGACTTGAAAAATACCTGGGGGGGGGGGGGGGCGGCTATGTTGCTGGACTTCCGTGTAGTGGACTACGGTTCAAGTCCCAGACCGGTAACTTAAACTCACTGGGAGCATGTGCATGCGTGCGTGCCCAAGATCCTGAGAGAAGAATGGAGAAGGGGTTGTGATGTGGCCATCCCCCCTGGGGGGTGATTTCTCACTTTCTGTGTCTCTGTCTCTCTCTCTCTTTCTGGCTAGCGCACGTGCCCTATAGCAAAATCCTCTTAAAAAAAAAAAAAGAAAAGAAAGAAAAACTCTCTAAAAAAAGAAAGAAAAGAAAAGCAAGCTAGGCACACGTGCCGAAGTGCCCCCAGTCCTGACAGAGCTGAGAAATGGAGGGGAGGGGCTTGTGGTGGGCCCGCCCTAGGGAGGGGTGCTTTGTCCCTCTCCCTCTCTCTGTCTCCCTGGCTCTGGGGAGTACACGTCTCCATGGACAAAGCGAAACATAAATAAATAAATAAATAAGGGGCACAAATGAATGGAAGGTGTCGCGCCCACCGAGTCCCTGTCCCTGGACGTGACCTCAGTTACATGTGGTGTATTTCACTTCACTCAGCCAGTTTGGCAACCAGAGCCCCGACATGCTGTCCCTGCCCCGCTGCACCTGAAGCGCGGTCGAGGGCGGCTGGGGAGTGGTTCCTGTGACTGGTCGTGCACTGGGGAGCTCAGGCTGCCTGTGGGTGGCTGTCACTCAGTGTCAGAGAGGAACTGAGTCCCCGGCAGCTGCCAGCTCAGGAAGTGGCCTCTGCTTTGCATTCGTCGTGAGAAACCAGCACGCAGATCATTCTCGTGTTTGTATTAGTATTTTTTTTTTTTTTAAGAATCACTTATTTAATTTTATTATTGTTTAACTTTATTTTTAAAAGAATTATTTATTTAATTTTTAATTTAACTTTATTTTTTTAATGAATTATTTTTGCTACAGGGCATGTGCGCTAGCCAGAGAGACAGAGAGAGACAGAGAGACAGAAAGGGAGAAATCACCCCCCCAGGGGGGATGGCCACGCCGCAATCCCTTCTCCTCCATTCTCCTCTCGGGATCTTGGGCACACATGCAAATGCCCCTGGCATGAGTTTAAGCCACCGGGTCTGGGACTTGAACTACGGTCGACTACATGGGAGTGCAGTGACTTAGCCATTAGGCCAACTCCTTGCCCCAATTAAATTATTTATTTTAATTTTACTAAAGAGGGAAAGTGAGAAAGCAAGACACCAGGTTTGGGAATCGAACCACAATGAGGCATGTGGGAGTCCAGCACTTTAACCACCATGCCACCTGCTGGCCCCATTATCAGTATTACTAATTCATCATGTATTTTTACTTATTATTATTATTATTTTAATTTGCTACAGGACATGTGGGTTCACCAGAGAGAGACAGAGAAAAAGAGGGAAAGTGAGAAAGCAAGCTGCCAGGTTTGGAAATAGAACCACAGTTAGCCACGTGGGAGTCCAGTACCTTAACCACAGTGCCCCCTGCTGGCCTCAATATTAGTATTTTTAATTTGATCAGAGAGAGA